TTTTGTATTTCGCCGCAAACATAATATTATTTGAGTACCTACCAACCGATGCGCTTACGTCACGGTATATTGTAACTCGGCCGTATCTTAGAAATAAATATTACAGGCGTGCGGTACGTAAACATGCGATAGGGCTGCTGCCTCCAGTATTTTTACATTTGCCCATTGATTTATGTGTTTTATAACTCAATGCATTTTCCTACTTTGTGTTTCCACTTAGTTTTATGATTGTACTTAAATATACTTTTTTATATAAACAAATATAATAGGTACTTTGTGAATTGAATAGGAAGTGTTCAATAAAAATGCGTGTCGTTTTATGATTGGTAGATTTAATTAAAAAACCATGTTTATGTTTCAATAACAAATCGGTCTTATAAATTTGCGGCCGAAAAATATTTGCGCCTGGGCTGAGACGTACGAAATGCTTTATTATTAAAATTTTAAATATAAAAAATCCGCATTATAATATAAAGCTTAATTAAAAATTGTTTTGGGAAACATGGACAAGTTGGAGTAAAGGAATATCTTTTACTTGGTTATAGATACCTGCAGCTATTTTACAATTTATATGTTTCGTTTTAAATGAAGTTTGGATTTATTATTTTTTTATTTCTATTCTATTTTCTGAAAGGGTCCTAGGAAAGGAATTATCCACCGCGCTGCCCCACTGCGTGTTGGCGAACTTTGCATGTCTTCGAAATATTATTTTTCTTATTTCTCAGACATGCAGGTTTCCTCACAATGTTTTCCTTCACCACTGAGCACGTGGTAAATCAACACTTAAAATTGCAATTACAATATTATTGGTGCCGGCGGGGATCGAACCCGGTTTGCTCGCACACTGTGAAAATTTTAGCAAGCGCTAACCATCTGAGCTACCACGGCTCCTCTCCTCTCGAGCTAGAGACTTTATTTTATTTATCGTCAGGCCTGTTGGTCTAGTGGTTAGTGACCCTGACTGCTATGCCGTAGGTCGTGGGTTCGATTCCCACCCAGGACAAATGTTTGTGTGATGATTTATCTATAATATTTATGTATTTAGAAATATATAAGTATGTTTATCAGTTGTCTAGTACCCATAACACAAGCTCTGCTTAGCTTGGGACTAGATGGCATTGTGTGATATTTGTGGAATATTATTATTGTTGGGGTATCTGTATAGTTTTCTCATCTGGTTGGTTTTTATAAATATAAATTAAAATGAAAAGATAAATATACATAAATATCAATAAAATAAAATAAATACAAAAAATATACAAATAAATAAAGATCCAACCATATTAAATAAAAAATAGTCTCCTATCTTTCTCTCTATGTTTTGATCTCCTAAAACGAGTTTGAGTTGGTAAAATCAAGGCAAACTTAGGGTAGGGTTGACAATTATTATTTTGATAATAAAACTAGTGAAATTCCGCGGTTTTATATGCGCAAGCGTGAACGTAGTTAGAACATAATATAACCTTTATATTTTACATAAATATCCTAAAAAACTTATTATTTTAATATTTTACTAAGTACCTACAAATTAACAAGTTTATTGCATTTTTATTTGAGTAATTTTTTATGCAATTTCTTTATCTACGTCTATTTTTAGGAACCTTTATTTAGTCTGAATCATACATAACACTATATTACTGATTTACTTACTTATACGTAGTTTTTTTTTTGCAGTTACAAATATCTTGTGAGGTTGAAAAAAGGTAGTAATGAAAAAATAATAAGAATAATAATAATTGACGTCAACAACCACTTTTCATATCATGGTCCATTAGGTTGCAGCTTCACCGAACCACAACTTATAATAATAATAATAACAATAATAATATAATATTATTTTGTATTTATTTTATTTTATTGATATTAATGTATATTTATCTTTTCATTTTAATTTATAATTTTTATATATTTAAATATTTATATAACCGAACCAGATGAGAAAATTATACGGCTCCAACGATTTTAGCGACGAACGCTTGGATTTATTTTTAGAAAATGTCCTTTTGTCCATGTTTTCAGGCAATAAAAAACTGCTACAATATAAGAAGGTAAATTTCGACTAATCATTAACGGTCGTTATAGCTAAGGTGGTATGTTGGTCGTTGGTCGGGCGTGATATCGGAGTTCCGTGGTTCGCGTCTTGGCTTTGGTCCCGCTTTTTTTTCCTTTTTTTTCAAGTTCCCTTCTTTTGTGAGAAAATTTATTATTTCAAACCCTTTTTTTAGTAATTTTTAAAAATACGAAAATTTTAATTTTAAAAATTTAAAAAAAATATCTATTTAGTTACTAATGCTATATTTATTATTTTAATAATTACCTACCCAGTAGGTAAATATTAAAATAATAAATGTAGCATTATAAACAGTAAATCTCCCTCAAACTCAATTTACTAATATTGCTCCTAAATAAGGAATAGCAGATAAAAGATTAGTAGGTACTATTAGTAGGTAGTAGGTATATAACTATTGCTCCTCAAAATTATATTTGACCTCAAGGTAAAACATATCCTAAAATTCAGTAGCTAAATAAAATAATAATAACTACTATTTAAGTATATTTTCAATATGTAAGTAAATGAAAATAACAAAAATGAAGCACCATTAGCATGTAAAGTTCGAATCCATAATTAATATTTCGACAAATATTATAATTTACACTATAAAAATCTAATTCAATATTAGCAGTATAGTATATAGTTAAAAATAATCAAAATAGTCATTTTTATTAATTAGATAATATATTAGAATACATAATTCTAATATAATGCAACTAATATACCGAATAAAGAAAATAAAATACATTTATCATTGTACGCCGTGTCTATTTCCATAGAAGAGTTCATTGACATTGAAAAAATAATACTACGTTCGTAGCAGTAGGTGGCGTCTTTTGCCGATTTCTTACACGATATATTGTAGCGAGCGTCGACAGAGCAAACGCTCAAGGTCGTTCGCTGGAGGTAGCGCCTTAAGAGGATACCTTGAAAATGAATTGTAGTTTTGGGGGCGTGGCTTATTATTTTGTCGGTGATGCTCGCGGACAGCTGAGGGAGTGTCAAAATGAAAGTGATGCAATGACTTCACAATACGCAAATTATGAGATAGCTATACCGAGCACACGCTCGGAAAAAAACTAAGTAAGCGCCAAACAACTTTTTTTTAACAAGACTACTTAATGGATTAAAAAGTGGTTTATGAGAACTTAGATATGATTATTTACTGTGCCTTAAAAATAATTTCATTAACTTATTCGTAAAAATATTGTGGTGTCATGGAAAAATGTAACTAATTAGAGCCTACTTTGCAATTCTTATAAGTAAATAACATTTACAAAGGTGACATTTGTTTAATGATTATCTCATGTATTTGGCTGATAATACAAAAATCTCAATTTATTGAACCAAGATTTTAGGTTACATCAACAAGTATATTTAAATAAAAATTTACAGATTGTAATTTAAAAACAAGCATTGCTCTGCCTTATTGGGCTTCAAAGAACTTTGGCCAAATTTGTTAGGTATACCTACTTATTGTTAACTTATTGTTGTGGAAAATATGCGTTCATAGGGCAGATAAAAATTTAATTTTACACCAAATAAATGTTGTAAAACTTCGTTCTACAGTTAAGATTAGTCATTCTCATTTTATTGAAGTTGAACCAAATTTGATGAAACACATAAAAAATTTAATATAAATCAGTAAGATGAAATTGTGTATTGTTAGGAATGAAATTTAAAAATTAACAAATAAAATATATAATATTTAATAAAGTTATCATGTTTGTTCATTCCATTCATAATATAAGGACCGCTTTATATTGAAGTTATTGTGTTTATGTCATCTAGCATTGATGGTGCTATTACAGTCAAGCAGAAGATTTTCAGTTCACAATGGGTCTCGCGGACTCGCAGAGTACTGGAGCCTAAAATTATCCATTTGTACCTATATTATATGTGTGACGAAATGTACTTGAATAACTTGGTCATTGGAAAGGACTGATTGATACATATCTAATGTAACATAAAAGATTTGAGCAGTCGAATGATCTAGGCAGACTTCTTGGAGATTATGGTTATACTTGTATTCTTTATTTATTTACGCCCATCCTGTGTTTTAATACACAAAAGGAAGAAATGTACAGCCAGCCTCACATCAGGAACTGTAACACTGTAGATGTAAAGTATGGAAGTAAAGGTTTCAATGTTCACTGTGAGGGTTTACAACTAAATTAGAATATACAAAACCATATATTATATATACATACCATATAACCATAAACAATATGTAACGTAATTAACGCACACCCTCAGACACCCCAATTAGTATATTATGTTATAATTATGTTATAATCATAATACATACCCTGAATTTTTAGTTAAACATTTTTATGCACTGATTATTTATCAAACTGGTTATACTAATTCCGGAAGAATGTTGTGGTCACAGTACAAATCTACAAACGCAAAGACCTTTAACATGCTTGAAATGAAGTTCGTTTCTTTATTTTTATTGAATGACAGAATTAGTAATAATACAAATAAAACTGCACTCTTAAAAGTCTTATTGCCTTAAGTTACGGTCCATTTCAGTTTGTTTTGACTGTACAGATTTAGTGTGACTGTAATTTACATAGTTTTAATTATTTTTGGGATAAAAAATTACCTATATTAAAAATGTATAGGAATTGATTCAGTAAACGATTCTGAACAAACTACTTTCTCAAAGTGTGTTAATTATGTTACGTGTTGTATATAGTGTTGCATTGGCAATCCTGCACAACATAACAATACACAAGCAAGATCTGTTTGAGGGTAGTAAAAGAAAATGATGGAAATTATCCAGTAAAAACAATCAGTTAATAACTCCCTTAGTGGAAATTATTTTATATTTAAAAGTTCAATCATGTCTAATTGTACCTCACCCTGCAAATACATTCATTTTATTGAGCTTTAAAAAAACAAAACTAAAATGGTTGTAATTTAATTAATTTTATTTTGCTCTTCACGCACTTTTTTTTAATTCTAAAATCTCTCTTTCAAGTATGGCACATTTTAATTTTTCATTATATATAGCAAGTTTAATTGCATGTTCTTCTTCAGCCATTTCTAAACGTCTTGTGTGTTCTTCCTCTTTTAACATTTTGCTATGGCTTATTACGTTACTTAAGTAGTCATCATGGTTCTGCAAATGACAACCAGTTATAGATATACAGTATAATAAATCTGTAGAAAAATTATTTTTCCACGATTCACACAAAAATTACTGGATGGATTTCTATTTTTATGTGTAGGTTGTAAATGATGGCATTTAACATAATATATATTTTTATTTGCTTATTGAAGATTAAAAAAGAAGGGTTGTTTTTCTTTTTTTTATGTTTATTGTCATAGTGGTTGTGGTGATTATATTAGTCATAAAGAGAATTTAACTATATGTATTACATTAAATCGTCTCTAATAATAATAATCTCTCTATTAATCGATCCGTCCCCTTCATGCTCTAATCTAAACTCAGCTCGAGTTACGTAACCGCTTTCAGTGCCTACAAGATTGCAATGCAGTGGACGACATGAATGACAAGCTCGTGGAAACTGTCCATGCGGTCGGAGCTAAGTTCTGCAATACCCGCCACAGAAGAACACAAAAACTCTGAGATCACACTCTTAATCTCATGGCTGTTAGACGGGAGATGAGGCTGCAATCGTCAACAGATTTGACAGCATACAGGCAACTGAACAGACAGATCTCCAAATGCATGCGGCGAGACTTACGCAACTTTAATACTGCTCTTATTAGCGAAGCGATCGAGCGGAACCAGGGCTCCAAAGTCTTTGCCAGAGATCTGTCTGCCAGTAAGAGCCAACTGTCAAAGCTGAAGACTGAGTATGGCAGCATTGTTTCCGGGACACCTGAGATTTTGAGTGAGATTGAGAGGTTCTATGGGCAGCTGTACACATCATCGTTCACTATGTACGTATCCGACACTATTCCGATGATATCACGGACGTCAGTCTGAGTGAGATTAGAATGGCTCTCCAGCACCTTAAAAACGGCAGGGCCCCAGGCGAAGATGGAATTACAGCGGAGCTTCTGAAAGCAGGTGGAACACCGGTACTTGAAGTCCTTCAGAAGCTCTTCAATTCCGTCCTCCATGGTGGCACTACTCCAGAGGCATGGAGCAGAAGTGCGGTGGGCTTGTTCTTCAAGAAAGGTGACAACACCCTCTTGAAGAACTACAGACCTATATCCCTTCTGAGCCGTGTCTACGTGCTGTTTTCGAGTCATTACGAATCATCTCGCACGCAGACTCGACGACTTCCAGCCTCCCGAACAAGCCGGTTTCCGAAAAGGCTTCAGTACCATAGACCACATACATACCCTGCGGCAGATTGTACAGAAGACTGAAGAGTACAATCTGCCACTTTGCCTGGCGTATGTGGACTATGAGAAAGCCTTTGATTCCGTCGAAATTTGGGCGTTGCTACAGTCCCTTCAGCGGTGCCAAGTTGACTGTCGGTATATCGAAGTGCTGAAGTGTTTGTACAGTAGGGCTACGATGGCTATCCGAGTACAGAACCAGAGCTTGAAACCTATCCAACTGCAGAGAGGTGTAAGACAGGGTGACGTTATATCCCCCGAAACTCTTCACCGCTGCATTGGAAGACGTTTTCAAGCTACTGGACTGGAAAGGATACGGTATTAACATCAATGGCGAGTACATCACTCACCTTCGATTTGCCGACGATATAGTCCTTATGGCAGAATCGCTGGAGGACTTAAGCACTATGCTCAATAACCTCAATAGTGCCTCCCAGCGTATAGGTCTTAAGATAAACATGGACAAAACAAAGATCATGTTTAATGTCCATGTCACACCTATGCCAGTAGTTGTTGGGAGCACTATGCTCGAAGTTGTTGACGAGTACGTTTACCTGGGACAAATAGTCCGACTAGGTAAGTCCAACTTCGACCGAGAGGTCAATCGACGGATTCGACTCGGCTGGGCAGCGTTCGGGAAATTACGACATATCTTCTCGTCAGGTATACCTCAATCTATAAAAACTAGATTGTACAACCAGTGCGTGTTGCCAGTGATGACTTACGGATCTGAAACGTGGTCCTTCACTGCTGGCCGTATGAGGACGCTCAAGGTCGCTCAGCGAGCTATGGAGAGAAATGAAGATATCCGCAGTAAAACCAGAGTGACCGACATAGCCTAATGGATTAGTAAGCTGAAATGGCAATGGGCCGGCCATATAGCTTGAAGAACCGATAACCAATTCTTGCTCTTGAGTGGCAGCCTCGTACCGGTAGGCGTAGTGTAGGGCGACCCCCCACTAGATGGAGTGACGACCTGGTAAGATATGCAGGAAGTCGATGGATGCAGGTGGCTCAGGACCGTGCTTTGTGGCATTACTTGGGGGAGGCATATGTTCAGCAGTGGACTTGTGAAGGGCTTTAATGATGATGATTACATTAAATAAGTCTATACAAAAACGTGTGTGTGAATATGAAACTCATCTCGTAACCAACTAGGAAGGGTAGAGTAACTTCTGCCGGGCCAGCTAGTAAATAATATTATTGGTTAAAAGATAAACAAAAAAAGTTTAACAAAACTAGCAGTATAAATATTATTTATAATACTTTCTATTATTTAAACAAAGAGCGAAATAAATACTGAAACGGTTAAAGGATATTATATCAATAAAGACCACGGTACACGATATATAATACATTACGAGCATATTAAACTTTAGACTTAAATCACCTTATCTTCCTCATCCCCATTTTGAGAGAGACTGCGTTTTGGGTGCATTTCAATTAGCAAATATTATAAATAGTGAATGAATTCAGAAGTTATTTTTTGAATTCGAATTCGAGAACAACGAATTTACAATTATTACAAACTTTTGTCACAGATCACTATTGGCATAGATAAATAAATATGTAGCAAGCTAACTATTGGTATACTAGACCACAGATCACTATATACTAGACAGGGTGCGTAATCTTAATACAAAAAATAGAGAAATGAATAGCATACTAAAATTAGTAATTCAAACTCTCATGTTCAGAGGGCAATGGTAGTGCTGCAAATATTTTAAGTCTTCGCTAGATGGCGCTGTATAATTTTTATAGTAGATTTTGAATTGTTCTCCCATTGCATAGAACACAAACAAAGAAATGTCAACTTTATAATAAATTTAATTTAAGATTCATGATTTTTAATTATTGTAAAAATATAAATAAAATTATGACAGGTAAATCAAAAGTAAACGATATGAATGATAAATTTCAAATCAAAGCAAAAAAAATTTGTGAGCACTATAGAAAAAAATAAAATATTTTAAATTGAATGTTGTTTGTTTTATTTACGAAATTATTAAAAATCATAAAGGAAAAGTTGGAATAGTAATATATAGCAGCTACGTATACATACATATTATAAACATACATATACAGTAGGTAGCTATTAGGTTATATAGTCGATGACATTAGTACCAACTTCAAAGTCTAGGGGCGCTAGTGATGCATTTCCAATTTTAGCCTTGAAGTTTGGTCTCTATTTCGTGTATATACAATGTACTCTGTGATACTAGACTACTAGACTTTTACTAGACTTTTGTCTTTGACTTTTGTCCAATCCACAAACGAATCACAGATTACTAGTATATATTCAGTCATCTATGGATCACTATAAACTAGTCTACGAAAGAGTTTGGTCGGGAACTTGGCCGTAGACGGATTGTCGCTTCAATAATGGTTTGAAGTGGATTTTGATTCGTAAAAGTGATGAGATTTTGTGAATTAAGTGTCCGAGCGTGTGAACTATTAAATAAAACGACGAAACAAGTGCTTTGATGTCAATATAAACTTCAAGTTATTTTGATCGCTAGGGCGCCTTATGAACTTTAGTGGCTGTCGTCATTAACTGTCCGCTGGGTTTAGCTGTCGTTAAAATCTCCAAAGGGCTTCACAATGTGACGCATCAGCATGTAAAAGAAAAAGAATATAAAAATGAAGATTCCGAAAGAAGGGCTAGAACCTAGAGTCGTAAAGCCAGTTAATAAGAAAAAAGAAGATAGTCTACAAAAACTAAAAGAGTACCCAACCCTGTGACTCAACCGATTACAAATTTCAGCACCGATATAAACCGATTATTATTAGTAATTTAAAATAACCGGTTTTCTTAGGTTTTTTTAGGTTTTTAGGATCCATATGACAATGAAAAAATTGAGTTTTTTTTAATACTTATTAAACTTTATTCAATAAAAATAAACTTATTTTCATTTTTAGTTAAATGATTAAATCATAATTTTGATAGATAAAACAAAGAAATCCATCCAGTAATTTTTGTGTGAATCGTGGAAAAATAATTTTTCTACAGATTTATTATACTGTATATCTATAACTGGTTGTCATTTGCAGAACCATGATGACTACTTAAGTAACGTAATAAGCCATAGCAAAATGTTAAAAGAGGAAGAACACACAAGACGTTTAGAAATGGCTGAAGAAGAACATGCAATTAAACTTGCTATATATAATGAAAAATTAAAATGTGCCATACTTGAAAGAGAGATTTTAGAATTAAAAAAAGTGCGTGAAGAGCAAAATAAAATTAATTAAATTACAACCATTTTTGTTTTGTTTTTTTAAAGCTCAATAAAATGAATATATTTGCAGGGTGAGGTACAATTAGACATGATTGAACTTTTAAATATAAAATAATTTCCTCTAAGGGAGTTATTAACTGATTGTTTTTACTGGATAATTTCCATCATTTTCTTTTACTACCCTCAAACAGATCTTGCTTGTGTATTGTTATGTTGTGCAGGATTGCCAATGCAACACTATATACAACACGTAACATAATTAACGCACTTTGAGAAAGTAGTTTGTTCAGAATCGTTTACTGAATCAATTCCTATACATTTTTAATATAGGTAATTTTTTATCCCAAAAATAATTAAAACTATGTAAATTACAGTCACACTAAATCTGTACAGTCAAAACAAACTGATATGGACCGTAACTTAAGGCAATAAGACTTTTAAGAGTGCAATTTTATTTGTATTATTACTAATTCTGTCATTCAATAAAAATAAAGAAACGAACTTTATTTCAAGCATGTTAAAGGTCTTTGCGTTTGTAGATTTGTACTGTGACCACAACATTCTTCCGGAATTAGTATAACCAGTTTGATAAATAATCAGTGCATAAAAATGTTTAACTAAAAATTCAGGGTATGTATTATGATTATAACATAATTATAACATAATATACTAATTGGGGTGTCTGAGGGTGTGCGTTAATTACGTTACATATTGTTTATGGTTATATGGTATGTATATATAATAAATCACCTAGCAACCTGTTCCTTCGCGATGATAAGAAATAGCCGGAAGTTGAAAACATTCGTTTCGAAGGTGCAGAAGTCACTGGCACTGAAAGATATTTTAAAGCCGTGTTATTAAGCGGTGCCAAATGTTTTTTTGTTTTTAGTAAGTGCCGGCGACTTCTGTATGTTTTCTTCTCGCCCAGGGTCAATCTCGGTTTCCATATACATACGCAGTATGTTTACTGCAGAAGCAGTCGCATTTGGAACACTATTCTCAGTCTTTCTTTGTTTTAAGAAGCCATCCAACAGACGACTACTTAAAAAAATCACAATTGCTTTGCTTTTCTTGATAAATTCCTCCACCTGTGCGAGTTGTAACGATTCTTCGACGTGTACCGCCACGGCATGTGCCGTATCTCAAGGAAATCACACATTTTTTCGAATTGTAAATATTATCAGTCACAATAGCAGCAACTTTGTTATAAGTTTCCATTCCATTCCGATGTTCTTCATGATTTCTGTCAAATTTTCAGAAGTATGCGAATGAGGAACTTCTGATGTTGTCAAAACGACTAACTTTTTAGATAATATTCATGAAAAAATGTACTGTCACTGTTTTTTATAATGGTGACGGTACATTTCATTTCACGGTACATTTGATCATAGATCTGTGGTTAGTGCGACGTATTCTGCATTTTTTAAGAAACTCTCAAGCTGCGTCTCACCTTTGCGTATAAAGCGGGCATCAATTCATATCTAATTTTTTCTCTTAAAGGCGGTACATAGTAGTTAGGATTTAAGGCTTCTACAAACCTTTTGAAGCCTTTGTCTTCCACTACGGAGAGTGGCTAGAAATCGGTGGCGATCATCAATGTAAGATATTCATCTATTTTCTTTTTGTTACTCCCCATCGTCATTTTCAACTTGCTTTGAATTAAGGTTTTCCGTGGATGCTCTTGGTCAGTATTATTTGACGTGAGCGGGATATATTGCTCATTGTCATTGATGGCATGCTTCTCAGGATTGACTGGCACTGATGCCTTCGGATGACTTCTCTTGAGATGAGCCAACATATTAGACGTCCCTCCGCCAACCTTGATAATTTTTCCACATAACTGACATTTAGCCGAATCATTACTCAATTTTTCAAAATGATTGTTGTCTATCGGGCGACATTTTCGGGATTCTTCAACCACTGCTATTCACAAGGATTCTGATGCACGTTGTAAAGTTATAAGGCCGCCAACATGCAAAATAAATCGGTTATTTAACTAGAACCGGTACATAATGGTTCTATCAAAAATCGGTTGACATCACTACTATCTTTTATGAACCATAACGTCGTAGACAGAGAAACCTATAGACAAATAGACAAATTGACGCCTTTCACATTCGCACACGAAAAAGATAGATTTATACATACAATACATCGTTTCGTTGTTCGTAGCGATCTAAGAGGTTTACTATTTAGTTTAAGTGAGAAAAAAGTGTTTTGTGAGCTTAAGATTGGTGAATCTTATTCAGTTCAGTTCTTATAACAATATTAATTTTTTATCTAAATATGTTTAAAAGTCATAAAGATTATTGTATAATCTAAAACTACGTTATCGACCTTTCTCACTTGAGGCCACGCTAATCATTAGTCTATAGGTTTCTCTGTCTACGAGTCTACCGGTACTCCCGATTGTTTTTTTTTACTTCTGGCCTTACGGCTCTGGGCCCTTCTGAGCCAATGATTTCTTTCGGAATCTTCATTCTTATATATTTTTTCCACAATACTCTGATGCGTCACATTGCGAAGTTTTTGGGGGATTTTGACGATAGCTCAACCCAGCGAACCTTTGATCAAAATAACTTGAGGTTTATATCAACTTCAAAGTACTTGTTTCGTCATTTTCTCTGGTAGTTGTCACGCACTGACACTTAATTCACAAATTCGCATCATTTTTACGAATCAAAAGTTCGACCAAACCATTATTCAAGCGACAACCCGTCGACGGCCAAGTTCCCGCCAAAACTCCCTACGGATTGTTTTAAAGGAATGATAAAGATAAAGATCATGTGCAGTAATTGTGCATAGCTTTCGCACTGATCATTATTAGTACCCGGTTGACCGAGCTTTGCTCGGTATTTTTCGCTCGGTTTTTTTTTAATTCGTGTGTTTTGGAAATTATATTTAGATACAAATTACATACTGATGAAATACGAATAATATTTTTTGACCGTAGCGACATAATAGAAAAAAACTGAACTGGTTATTTGAATAAAAAATCATGAGTGCAATTAGTTTAATTTATATTTTCGTGTTTTTAAAAAACACTAAAAAAAGGGCACGAAAAAATAGATTTTCTGAAAAAAGAAAGGAACTTGAAAAAAAAAATTAAAAAACGTCGGTCGGTCGGTCTGGGCTCGAACCATAGTATTACGATTTTGTGACCGCCCAATATACCAATTAAGCTATTCGCATTCATTAA